CGTCATCTACATCATAAATGTCACGTGGAATATCTTGGTTGGCTTCCCGTCGATCCTCAAGAGCTTGCTTCGATTCCACGCGAGCTCGATACCGTTGAGCAGCTTGCTTGCGGATCATCCGACGATACTAAGATAAATAAGGGTGAGATTTAGAAAGTGTGGCGACCCTAGATAAAGAATTTGTGTAAAAATGACTCTTACAAAACTTACCTCATTAGGTGACCGGTAATGTGGGTTTTCATAAAGTGTTGCTCCTCCAAAGCTTCCTTCAAACACTCTTATAAGGTTTAATACAAATCGTGGGCCTGAAATATAAATTTACCACGTTAAAATCAAAACTCAGAATTATGCCATATTTTAACTCTTATTAGTCTTATGTGAAAATAAAGAAATTAATCCTTTAACTCCCATGAGTGACCAAGACAGAATTTCTCCTTAAAACATCATTACATTATCAAGCAGAAAAGTGATGAGAATGGAGAAAAATATCAATAAGGGGATTACCAGTTGATCTAATACCAAATTCTCTTAAGTAACATCATAAGAATTGTATAACAGACAGTAAGGAGAACTACTAAGAGATCTTTGGGGTGAAATTATTAAGAGAAAGGCATTTACCAATTTCCAGCAATGATCCATCTTCCTCAACAATCTATGGAACAATAAGAGTTTGCACAGGTCAGTATTTTTCAAATGAAACTACAAAAATTGATTGTTTTTGGACTCCATACCAACAAGTATTTAGTATTTTATTTACCTGGAAATTCCGGAACCAAATTCTGTTGTCTTCTACAGAGAAAGAGAACACATGATCTACAAAGGGTTTGCTCTTGGGATGATAACAAGGAGTACTAAAAATCTGCACAAAAAACAGAGAGAGAAGTAAGAGTGAGAACAGAATCATTGCACAAATACTGTAAATATTATAAAAAGTCTGAACTTCAGCCCACCCAGCCAGAGCTTATTCCAGTGTCTGTCTTTAACATGAAGTGACTCAGAGTATTGGTACTATCCCCCGGATGGGATACCAGAACATTGCACTCCACCCCCTTCCCCAGAAATTCATCATAATTCCCCGAACATTTTCTTTTTATTCCTTTATTTTATGCTACATAAAATAATATTGATGTAAGAATTAGTCAAGTAGGTAGTGTTCATAAGTATCGCAAAAAGTGTAATATTCTAAGTAATATCATAAGTGATGTAACATATTTGTATTATTAGTGATACAACATAATCAGTAGTATTGCAGCTAATGTATTGCAATTAGCAGTATTGTAAGTAAGGTTACTTAATTAGTAGCATAGCTGTGAGTATTGTATCCCAGATTATATAATTATTGTAGTGTCCACTTTGTTAATATTGTTTCTGTAAAAAAAAAAGTGTTGTTTAAATAAAACAACAAAAGCAAAATTATAAATATTGTTACCTACCTGAATGAACATTTCCTTCAAAAGTGAGTGCTGAGGTGTTTTATCAAAATGCTGTTATGGAGTAAAACCAAAGTGTATGTTATTGTATCAGTAAGAACTGATCATACTCCAGGACACTGGCTCTATGCTGAATGTGTGCATACTTTTAGTACAATTGTATTTGACATGAAAGGTTATCATCAATGCAGAGAACATTTTGAGGGAACAAAATAATAAAAAGGAAATAACAAATGAAGCATGAAATCAGGTGCAACAATTTCATGCAAAAATATCTTAAAATGGTGAGAGAGGATCTTTCCACAAACCAGACTCTGTCCATATTCTGGTTTTGATAAGGCTTGGAAGTAGATTAAAATACATTGCTTCACATGGTAGAGGCCAATCCTCTTCCTTGTAAATTTAAAACTATTCTACAGTAGACCTTTGCTCTAACCTGATCAAATGATAATATTGGTCTTGATCCTTTCAATGAATTTCCAGTTAATTTAAGTTCATCCATTGTGTGCACTAAACAACCAGTAAAAAAAAAAAATAGTCAGTTTACTTATTTCAATATAATATTATGTTTGATTTGTTCAGTAGCCCAAATTGTTGATTCCTAAATAATTTAGACAATAACTCAGCATGTATGCTGGTAACTTATATGTTAACAAATCAAGACGGAATATGGAAATAAATTTTTCCAATTTCAGAGCTAAGTTATGGAACTGCCTGAAGCCTGACTTGTGTACACACGAGAAAAAACCTTTCAAAAACGTAATTCACCAATTATTGTTGGTGGTGCTTAGTGATGAGCATGGTTACTGTATGTTGATGTCTTAATGTTACTCTCAAAAATTACTTATTATCATTAATCAAACTCTAGCTATTATCATTACTTCCTTATTTCTTAAGTTTTCTTATGGGCTCTTGCTGTACTCATGAAAATGCTAGCTATCGGTGAATGTATTTGTATACCTATTTATTTTATTTTATCCTATATATTTATTTTACCTTATTTACTATTAATCCACTTTGCTAAATTTGATAGTCAGTTACACAACCAACCTGCCTTGATTAGCTTAGCATGAATATGCAGGTTGTGTATTTATCTACCATAAAAACCCACAGATAAGCCACACCTGCAGATAAGCCGCACCCTGAATTTAACAGCTCAAATTTTGGAAAAAGTTTTTAAAAGAAATCAAAAGAAATCCAAAGCCATGTCTTGAGAAGTCTTCTTCATCCACTGTTCATTGAACATAAACTCACTACTTCAAAGTCTTACCCACAACTTAAGCATTTTAATATAATGAACATCATTTCTACCAACTTTGACATATGATTGATCTTTTTCTGGTATTTGTTGACAGGAATTTCTTCATTCAACACAGTTTTTCCATAGATTTTTGCATTACAACGAGAATGTGAGTGGAACATTCGAAGCTTAGGAACCAGGCATTAGATCGGACATGAAAATGGAAATGTTCCCGCAGATAAGCCACACTCCAAATTTCTAGTGATGATTTTTGGAAAAAAGGTGCAGCTTATCTATAGGTTTTTACAGTAATTTATTAAATTTAAACTATTGGAATAAAATGACAAAATGATGAAAATACCATAACATCATGAGTGGCCCCTAGTAGCACTTACCATTTTCAACCAAAAACTTGGCAGATGGCCCATGTGGTGTACAAGAAAACCTTCAATAACAACAAACAAAACAGGCTCAGGGGTGTCCTGCATTTGTAATATTATACACACTAGAATAAATTTCAAGTGAAGGGGAAACAAAATATGAAACCTACCACATATAAAGGTCCTGTCCCTTTCTCATCTCAAAAAAGACACATTTGTTACAGTTTTTCATCTCACAGACCTACAAGTCAAGTTATAGTGTTATTTGTTACTGATATAATATACACTTTTGTTACTTACCACCTTTAATCTCTCTTTAACAATTACTGATGTTTTCTCTCTAAAATGCTCAGGGATGACAGGGGCTTCTACACTATTTTGGTCAAGGTGGAATTCCTGTTTACATGAGGTGAAATAAGTGCATTGTAGAAGAGAATGAAACTACAATTTATAACTGGATAAAGGTGGGTAATATGGAGAGTTAATTTCCTTCGAGGAAGAGCTTTATGTTATACTACTTTACAAAGAAATATTACAAAAACTCCAACAGTCAATCTGATTGGCTGATGGCTGCATATCAATGAGTAAGTGCACTTAATGCTGATAGGTGATAATTAACGTTGAGTGTGATGACAGTCACAGAAAAATTGTTTACTAACCTCATTGACAATAAATAGTTTGTCTTTGCGGTCAAGTTTGGTCTCTAAAAGAGATCAACAAAGAGAAAACATCATTGAAGCATTTCAAAGTCTGATTTTGTTTAACTTCTGGTGTTAATGTTGACTTTTCACTCCTGTCTCTCTATAAAAGAGGCCTTATAACACTCAACCAGCTCCTCAAGAAGGCACCTGAGGTTGCACCAAAAGTAGTCTCATGGGATTTTTTGATGATTCATTATTTAGTTTGTCCTTTGACCTATATGTTGTTAATTCAGAGTCACAACCTATCCCTTTACACCTCAACATCAGTATGCATATTCTCCATACATTTCCTAAGATGCTGACAAGGAGTATTTGTTTAACAGTCAAGGGTTTCTTTAGTTGGTGATCATTTCCTTTATTCTTGTGACCTTAATGTTTGATTCAGGGATGATATTGTAAGGAGAAATTAGATGCTAGTCATTCATAGGGGTCAAAGAGTTAAATCAGGGCTGCAAGGATTTCGAGCTGTACAAATGCAAGAGGAGTCATGTTCTTTGAGCTGATTGATTTGTGGTCAGCATGCATGCACCTGAACACAAAATAATCATCAAAAGAAGTATGTATAGGAATTTATCATAAAATCATAAAGATCATATGCATATACCAGATTTTGAGTGGGGTAACAATGTCTGTATATCCAGCATAAGATGCCTTGCTCTGCGAAAATTTAAAGAAGATATATATGGTACATGTAGATATCAGGAATTTGTTACAATACAGAATGAACTTAAAGTCAAAGTAATTATCACATCACATAAAGTGAAATACATATGAAACAAGTTTACGGAAGTCAACAAGGATATTTAGGCTGACTAGAAATACATTTAATTCAACCATAAAACATTCAGTGAAACACAGATATACCCATGCCATATATAGCCTATCTTCGATAAATGGAACACCATGGACCTCATATAAGCGATAAAGAATATGAAATCAAAGAAAAGAACAACGATCATATTCTCCTGCTTTAAATTCTCGTTATCTTGGCGTCTTCGATCTCACCTGTGTGATATACCACGTGAGCAAAACACCAACACGCGTTGTTTGTTTGTCCATTTTCCCTGTAAATAAACGGCCAAAAGTTTGATTTTATCATACATTAGCAAAGAATAGCTAAATGAGGGTTGGATCTAACCTTTTTCGTTTTCTTTTTCTTCGGCTGTACTCCATTAGAACTATTAGAAGTTTCCACTTCTTTGATAGACCTTTTCTTCGCCATTTTGAATTATCGACTTAAGCTTGGTAACCAGGCTTTTGCGACAACTGCTGATTTAGCACTGCTGACCCATAAAGAATGTTATTGACTTTCGAAGAAAGGCACGGAAGGAGGGAAAGATTCTTAGAACGAGGTAAATATCCCTGAACTTCAACTTCTCCTCTGAAAATGAAGCCTTCTGAGACTAAGCTAAGAGGTTAATTTTGTAGTTTGCAAATTAAGTGCTTAAGATACAAGATAAGGACCTGAGAAACTTTGCAAGATTCGAATTCTGTTAATCGCTGGTTTGTTGATAGCTTCAGTGATTAACCCCAGTTCGCTGAAAATGCAAGATCTGACATTTGATAATAGTTAATCGTTATTATGCTGTTAACCAATATCAACATATTGGGTCAGCAGAAAATAGTAATGATTATTTAAAACTCAATTTGAAAGCAGGGTCCTCTGATGTAGCTCAAAATGTAGTTTTGTGCCCTATCAAATGATTTGTTAATCGTACCTTTAGTTTTAATTATTTTGTTCATGAAAGGAAATTATTTTTCATTCAAATCTCCCTCCATTCTTAGGCAGATTTTGTATTAAGGAGGAAAATTAAACACAATGGGTTCTATTCTTGGGGGAGCTATGAAAGAGACCATGGATGAAAACATGAAGAAGAATCAGGAATTTATGTTGAAAACTCAACAAATACAGGTAATTTAGCTGCAGAAGGTAGCTCTGTGTGAGACTGAAACTTGGAAATGAAACTGAATTTGAAACCATCACCAGTGATATCATGGTTGAATATAAGAGCCAGAAGCTTTTACAAATTACTGTAAACACCAAGGTAAAAGCCACACCTTTTTTCCAAAATTTGAGTTGTCAAACAGAAGGTGAAGCTTATCTGCAAATGCTGCTTATACACCAATGTTTATGATTCTTTGCAGGATTTTGCTGGTTATTTAAGTCATCAAATGAAGATGTACAGTAACTGAGATTTTGAATAACAGTAGGACTGTTACAGATACTCAACCCTTTAACCCCTAAGAGTGACAAGCATCTAATTTCTCCCAACAATATCACCCCTAAATCATACAGTAAGGTCATGAGAATAAAGAAAATTATCAGCAGCTAAAGAAGTTATTGATTGTTACATAAATTCTCCTTGTCAGCATCCTTGGGAATGTATAGAGAACAGTATGGAGAATACCTTTACTGATGTTAGGGTGTAAAGGGTTAAAAGTTTCTTATTTTGGTAACACACTTATTTTTTTCAGCTGGGAAGGCAGCTTCAAATGCAGAATGCTATGAGAGAAAGACAAATGTCCATGCAACTAGCTGGAGCAAGAGAAATGTTTAATTGGTTAGCTACATTCTATGGAATTGCAACAATTGGCATGTTTGCTGGGTAAGTGTTACATAATGCACAGCTGTTCACACAAAGTTTTCCTACTAGAAAGGTTGTGGAACAAAAAAAAAACTTGAACTTAGATCAAGAAGATATAAAGAAGGAAAAAGTCTGTCATCATTGTGTGTTTATTATGGTGTCATTTTCATATGATCACATTTGTCCTCTTTTACTTTTTTTGTGTAGGTTTATGAAATCCAAAAAGCCAGCTGTTTTAATTCCCTTTCTTCCACTATCCTTTGTTGTTGGTTATCAGGCTGATTATGTTTATGGAGGCAAAGTCAGCAGAATTAGAGGTTAGTGTAAAGGTTTGGTTGAAAATAAGGATAGTTACCATCAAAAGATCTGGTTTATAATAAAGTAGCCTTGAGGCAGTCTTGTCCATTTTCTTTAGTTGAGTGGTAGTCATGCAAATATATATGCCCTCCATGTCTCTTACCTTACTCATGCTCCCCTCTCCTAATGTCAAAAGATCTGCCTTATTATAAAGTAGCCTGTGTAGTAGAGTCTCATTATTTTAGTTACCAGAGTTACGTGAATGTGAGGGATGCTCACACTATTAGCCTAAGGGAACAGTGTCAATTTATTGTAATTGAGCCCCCAAAGGGCATTAAAAAAGCCTTGTGGTTTTGGTTGACAGTATTTTTGAAAAGAAACTGTGTTGTACAAACCTCAGGAGTTAGTGGAGCCAACCCATGCTCATCTGTGGAATAAAGGCTTCAAAATCCAGTTGAATCTGCATTCCATGGTTTCCTATGAGACCCACTGTTACACCTACATAGCAGTCTTGTCCATTTCCTTTAGCTGGGTAGTAGTCAGGTATTTCAGGTGTATGCCCTTGCTTAACCCAGTTGTTGGGGAGACTCATTCCTTTGGCATGCTCCCCTCATGTAGCTGAAAGAAAATGAAGCACTGCACCATGTACTCGCAGGTTGGAGACTCAGTTGAGTAACTGAATGTCATAGGGACTTAACATAAAGAGAAATGTTTTTAGAGATGGCTTGTTTCATCCCTGGAAGGTGGCCTCATTTCATTCTATAGCTGGTGAAGGTACAGTGCATAGTATAGAGACCTAGAAGTGTTGTGGTCTCTGGTGTATTCATATGAGCTTACTTGTCAGGGTTTATTGATTTTTTTTAACTTTTCACTTTTGCTTTTTTGCAGAGGAGGCAGAACGTATCATGAAAGAAGAATATTCAATTCTTCAACTCCCTGCTGGGATACCTGATTTCAAATCAATCGAAGAAGCTCGTCTAAAGGCCGAAGGAAAGTCATCTTGAACTTTTCTAGTCATCTGAGAAGCTTGCATTACATAAAAAACACACCTATGCAATCTATAATCTCTACTATACCTAAGTTAACATCATTATAAAACCCATACGCTTACATAAACATTTTGAATTTATTATTTTGAGAGTATATTGCTTCAAGGGCTAATGCTTGAAATGTCAGCCTTTAAACTCTTTACTGTGGCCAATTTACATCGTCAACTGAGTTGATAACACTACATTACCCTGTTACACTCTCCCACCGACACAGCACCATAGTTTCTTTAGAAACTCACCCCCTTTATTGTTGTTTTATAGTCTTCAAAAAGCTGTATATTGCATGCTTCTCATTACTCTGTAGGGTTTGAGTAATGAAAGGATTATTCTCTGTGACATTTCCCACAAACTTTTAGATGTTTCCCAAGAGTAACCATTGAGAGAAAATGAAAAAGGAAAAGATCATGTGCTGCAGGCATATGTTTATTTTCTGGTCTCTGAAATATTATGTTTACTCATCTCTATGACTTTCTATGACCCCCCACTCGAAGTCCATGATTTGTCAGGTCTGGAAAATAACATTATGGAATTTCACGACTTTCCAAGTGTTCCATGACCTGTACAAACCCAGTAACTGTGAACAAATTACTTACCAAAGAGAAGTGGCTTTTTTTAGCATGATTATTTTGTTCTGAAAGTATACATGTATGTAAGGCTCATATGTGTCAACATTTCACTAATATTAGACAACTTAGGCTCAGAATTTTGTCAGTGGTGTACATGTACCTTGATCTTAGGGCCATAATATATAGCACTCTTCCCTTAAATCAACTGAAAATCATATATAAAAGAAAAAAATTCAGAAATCGTTTGTTTTGTTGATTGTATTTTAATGACAAAAAGGGGGTCATGGTTCTAATTATAGGCTTTGAGCAAAAAGAGCAAAACCAGTGATGTTAAATGCAAATTTTAATTGGTTATACTGCTGCTGTCAAACCTGTTATTACAAGATAGTAATTTCATGCTTATAAGTAGAATTTATTTCATGAAATTTTATATTATTAACTGTTACAGGGTAGTAGAGATTCATCAGGGCACCAAACTGTATACAGTCATGACAGAGCCACCTTAAACTTTTTTCCTGGTCCTCCTTACAATAAGATGGTATATGAGATGATATTAGATCCGAGTTTTTGTATCTGTGGAGTCATAAAAGTCCACTTTTCTTATCAGTAAAGCAGTTACTGCATTATTAATTCTAAAAGACAGTCCATATCCAAATTTGAAAGTTCAAGTTATTCTGCTGCACTGAAAATTAACGTAACATACTGCAGCAAAAGTAAACACAACTTGATTATGTGGTGTAAAATACTTTCTAAAATAGCTTTGTTACTGGAACATTTTTTTAAACATCCTTCCCTTGTGTCTTACTCTGCGTGGCCTGTGAAAATAAGTTGTATAAATTTTAATAGAACACCTTGAAACATGCAACACTACATAAAAAAATACCGTACCAGAGAGATATATAATAGACGTTACTATTTCGTTGATCTTCTACAACCAGAAAGGAACATGTTCAAAAAGAAAGGACCCCATAAAAGCAGACTTTAAGAAAAATAGATAAAATTAGGCTGACCTTCTAACACATTCCACAAGTGTGTGGGCACTCTTCTTCAACAAAGCTGACAAAACTCCGGTATGTTATGAACCACCGACTGCTGAAGCACTGATGTTTTCTCAACCGACATATAGTTGGATGTACATCCAAGCAATAGGCTGTAAAATTATGTAAAATAGAGTTAGTAAGCAATTCTTAACGCTTCTTCCTTTTTTTGGATTAAAATAAGTATATTAACATTAAGTTATAGTAGCTTTTGGTGCCTTTGCTCAGTCTACAAATGATCCTCTGTCGCATAGATGTCTCTGTAATATGATAGTAGTGCCCTTCCACAGTGTATTTTATTTTTTAGCTTGAATTATTCCTATTTCTCCTAAGTAGACTTAAGTTATAGATATCATGCAGGTTTCTGTTTGTACTGAGGCTTTTATTACCACAATGTGGCGTCTTAGTTTTTTTTTAACTCTTAAGTTATTTTAGGAAGTCAGTACCTCTTTTTGCTATTTAGTCTAATTAATGAAAAATCCCTTCTTTTATTTTTATTGGGATAGATCAAATAACGTTGTTGTCACCAAACAGTAGTTATCTGGGATTGCTTCATTTTGTTTTGTGACTGGTTCATTATTCATTTGAATTTTTTTCTGATATTTCCATTGGTCAGTTAAGTGTCACCTTGTTAAGTGGTTAGTCTCCAATTTAGGGATATCTTTTTTTAGTCATTTAAAAGAGACGGATATCGTTGATCAATTTTTCACAATTAACTTAGTTTAAACACTCTGGATATCTTCTACTGTGGAAGACTAGATAGGATTGACGACTGATGACATGATACTGAAAAATTACATGTTAGACTATGCAACACATTTACAAGCCGAGAACAGCCTTTGATCTTTTTTGAAGATCATATGTCTGCATATCAGTTGAATCTTACGGCCGGGATGTGACCCTCTACGTCAAAACGAGTCCTATTTCTCGGCAAAGCAAAGCATGCGTGACCTGGTGAAGATCAACCGAGAATCCGTTGAACAAACCACAACTTGAACTTTAAGCGTTGTTTTTAAAAAGCGTCGTGTTTTCTCAGCAACAAAGATGAAATTTTAAAAAATTTCTGGGTTCAGCACAATTTTCTTTTAGCTCTCGCAAAAATCTCTAGATAGCCAAACGTCTACTTTTTCAAATGTTTATCTGAAGTGGACTGAAAAAGGTACACTTTGTTTTTTCATAAACAAGTGTCTGCATCATTGCCAGCCCTTACTTAAACCTTTAACTCCCAAGATCCGATTGTCAATTCTCTAGCTACCACACATTTCCTTGTAAATAAGTTACGAGAATTTGGTGGTAGATCAAGATAACAACCTCTACCTGATAAGCTTGAGTATTCCCAAGACCTGTTTGCTGGATGTTTAGATATTACGGGGATAAGTTACATGTTAATCACTTCTACGAAGGTACCGTTGCGTTGTTCAATTATTCTGTACTCAGACTTAAAAGTTATCAAGCATAGAATGGGCACTTAAGTCTATTACGGCGGATATGTGGCAAAAAGGGGTACACTTTGTGTTACTATTGGTTATTTCACTTAAAAAAATTCACCTTTCTTTTTCGTCAACCAACCATCGTCAAATTCTATTGCATCTCCGATATCACGAGGAATCAGTTCTTCTCCAAACGGTTTGGCCTTTGAAACTGATAAAACTGTGATCAGTCCAAGAGAAAGGATCAAAACCCAAGAGCTCTTCATTTCAATGGAATACTTCTTGATTGGGAAGTCAGTTAACACTTGAAGTACGAGAACTGGCTGTTTTCCGCTCGTAGGCTGATAGTGAATTGTGGCTCTGTAAGGCTGCCTTTTTATACCAAATCTTGGCGTCCATATTAAGTAACACAAGTTTCAAATATACAGATAAAACGATGACTCCGAGACTAAACCGTTGGAAATTTCAAAAGCTAAGTCACTCAATTGTTTGTTGGTTGAAAGCGTCGTTGATATTAACGCTGATAGATAAGTCACAGATGACAGGGATTCGAGTTTCGCGTCTCAATGCACTTGTTCTTATCATTTACGTGTCAAAGTTCTTTTTGCATTAACAAGCCACCCTTGACAAAAAACGTGCTCTCCTCAGTTAAGTAGGGTGGTAAAAAATCCATCCAAATTAACTCTATGTTGTTCTCCTTTTAAAAGCTGAAGGTAAAACACTTAATAACAAAGTGCTTAGTAACACACAATTTCAGCACGATGAATGTAATGTCACAGAATTCAGTTTGACATTTTGATCTGGGCTGACCCGCAAAGCTATGAAATCTTCGATATTTTTGTCTGCAATCGCGCATGGCTTTTTTCAAAATGTTTCAAATGCTATCAAAACTTGAGAGCTTGTTTAACGTATCTCGAACAGACGACGTTCTGTTTTTAAACTTAATCCATATAGTTACCTTGTACCCTTGTTATACGGGTCTGTCTAAGAAATGTTTTAAGAAAGACATGATGTGCCGATTTCCCAAACACGCAATCCTAGATAACGTACGAACTTCTAACGGACAACTGATCATCAAACTACTCTTCAATTTTGACCGGGTGCAGTTTTCAGTCAACGAATATCGTAACAGTCGTAACACTCAGCAAAAAAGCAGGCAAGGTCACAGTCATATATAAGAGATGTCAACAAATCATCTATTTTTTTTTTATATATTTTATTGTGTTTTTCCATTTTACATTAAAAAAAAAAATTACAGCAGTATAAAGTAAATAAAATTGTATAAGGTCAGTAAATAAATAAATAAATAAACAAAAATATTAATACATGGCTACCCAAGGTAAAGTTATTTCAACTGAGTGATTGTAAAAGTTTTTCCCATTTCATTAAGTGCAGGTTTAGTTTTTTCTTTTCTTTAGCTAGGTATTCTCCTATTCTAAAAATTTTTTTAAGGTGCGCGAGGAAGATAATAAAGCTTGGGGTAATAGATTTCTGTCTGCATCTATTTTGACAACCTTCTTAAGCTGCGAGTCGTGAACTTCGCACATCGAACTCCTTCGGGTAGAGTGCCTGCGGGTTAAGGAACGCTTGAAAACAGCGGGTCCATTCATAAACAGTCTAAAGCGCATGTGTCGCTACTATACAGCCTTTCCTGTCGCTCTTGGGAAGAGTTTTGACGGGGGAGGTGTGGGGGTCAGGGAGGGTATGGAGAGGGGAGGGTGGGTGGGAGAGAATGTTTCTCACAATCCTTGTTAAATAAGCAGAATTAATTTTTGTTCCTTTGTGTGTCCGTCCCTCAAGTTGGAACAACAGATGTGAAAGGAAAATGGAGGCGAAACAGCGATAGTACACTTAAGGATGGCGGCACCCAAGAAAATTTATTTTGTTTCCTGTATTGAGACGGATAACAGACCACACACTGGCAAGGAACTGAAAATAAAAACATGAAATCAAGCAAAGAAGTGCAGAAAAATAAGGGGTTGAGTAAATCTATAATCAGCATATACCCTTAATGCTTTTAGAATTCTGCTATGTATTAACGCTAATGGAGATATCGCCTTCCAAAGACAAGTAGAATTTTGATGATAATAAAAGCTATGGGAAATGATAAACGCTTCGATTTGAATGACGTCCACAGCTTTAAGAGTCGATACTGTTAACCAATGCTTAGACAGGTGCACTCTGGGTCTCCAACGGTTTTTAACTAAAGTGCGTTAGTGATTAACTTTTTAGCCTTCGACGAAAATGTGATTTATGTGAGAAAGATGACTTATACTTTGAGCTGTAATTATAAACATTAATTTCCGCGGCAATGCGAGCCGTCATTTCTTAATTGTTTGCAATGTGTTAACACTGATATCTTGATTCAAAGAATAACTGGAACATTACATTAAATGCAGGTGGTTTTCTTTATGCATTACTGAATAAATAATTATGACGAATTGTTTGAATTTTCATTTCAGTCAACACATTTCAGTGGTCGGCCAACTCAATGCAGTTCAAAGTTGATGATTCACGTACAAGCCGAGATTGAGTGGCTCTACTCACTCACCCTTTTCAGTTGAGGAAAATGTCAAAAAGTTTAATTTCTGTGGCGTTTTTAATATTTCAAGCATCTTTTTCGTTTGTTGCTAGCGATGAAGTCAAGAAAAGCAGGTGAGATGTCCCACGGTATGTCAAACGCAACTGAATCAAAGTTATTTTCTCAAATCTATTTTTCGAGTCGCAGGAAAGTTTTTTTTTCAAAGATTTAACTAGAAGTGTTTGAAAAGGAATGATGCAATAACATTAGACTCATATGTGGACCAAGTGTCTTAAACTTAAGCAAAAAATTGAAAATTTGACGCTATGTTTATTGGCAAATCTGGAAGAGAATTAGTTCCAAATGAACCTCTCAAGTACGACTCTGAGACCAGCATCTCATATAAACCCTAAATGCCTCGAGTTCTAACAGTTTAATCGCGATCACAAATTATTTCGAGAAAAAGTTGTTTTTCTGGAGAATGAAATGTAATTTCATTTTTTAAAGCCACTCATTTGTCATGTTCTTTCTTGATATTAGCGCTTCCTCTCCCTTTAAACACCACTTATCATGTTAATCGCCACCTTTATCAAATTCACGAACAACAGCGTGTTGGATGATTTCTGAAAATTTAGGACGCAAGTCATTTACACCTCAACATAAAAATACACTTTGTTTTGATGATATCAGCACGATTGTTGATGTTTCGAAGCAAACATGGCCTCTGTCTTTAGTGAAATAAGCTAATTTGGTTTGATCAACTGAGTTGATAATGTGAATTGGCCATCGCAGAGAGTTTTAGAGCTGACGTTTCGAGTATTAGCCCCTCGTTTTGGGGGGGGGGGGGGAGATACAGGCTAAGTCGTACTATAACGTACGGCTTTTTAAACCACCATCCCTTTCTCAAATTGTGCGTTTAAATTATAGATCAAGCGAAGCAGAAGAGCTTTTTCGCCACAGGATTGAGGCGCCCAACAAAACAGACATATTTGCTAAACTCTTCAAAGGATATGACAATAGAGTTAGGCCCAACTACAGAGGTGGGTGTATAAATATTGACGGAGGACTTATGTAGCAGATGCAAAGATCAGTAAAGATCAATAACAAGAAGGAAAAAATACATGAATTACTAACCAGGTGATAAGTGCCCGTTTTTGATATAGTTTCGTTTTTCCTTCTCTCTTCCGTCGGATCTCGCAGCTCATTCAGTTGCAAAGCGTCAGAGTTTTGTCACATGAGATCTAATTCTTCCTCGACGCGAGAATCTTCTTGAGCTTTTGTTTTCAGTTTTATCTAACTCAGTGTAACCGTTTTAAAGACAGGCTTTTGAGAATTTGATGTGCATACATAATTGTCTTGATTTGCAAAATTTGAAGCCAAACTGAGTAAATCAAGAGGATACTTAGATTTTTAGTTTTCTAAGTTTGACAGTCCCTTTTTAATGATATTGTTTAGATAACGTCTTCCCTTTCTTTTGGCATTTTTTATTTTAGAGAAACCAGTCCAAGTTTTACTCTATGCTGTCATTGACTCGTTTCACGATATCAGAGAAGATCAAATGGTATCCACATAAAAACATATATTTATTTCTTTAAAAAATTTTAATTAGTATGGCAAAAGTACAACTGACATAGATATATTTTTCAATAGCATTTTTTAATTTACTTTTATAAAATGTGCTATTATTGAAGATATTTCTCAGATAAACAAAAGCAAAGTATTTTAGATCGGAAGCCCTGAGAGGGGATTTGGTTTTAGAGAAGGCACGTTTCGAATGAAATTAGAGAAATTACAACAGCCAATCAGAACTTAAGTGAATATGAAAGGGATTCAAAGCAAGCAAACTGCTTGAGGCGCGGGAAAACGCACGTGACCAAGTTGTTATTAGCTTAGACCAGTTTCCAATCGAGTGTCAGAAAAACCAAAACTAAGGTAATCATCACCATTAGCCAATGAAAACTGAAAGTGAAAACGAGCAAACTGCTTGAAGCGCGGGAAAGCGCTGATGATCAAGTCGCGATTGTTCGTAGTCTTCATCTTCAGAGGATAGTGCGAGTTTTCTGAACCAATCACAGAGCAAAGTTAAGTAAAACTAAAGCAATCACGTATTACTTTCGACACTCAATTGAAAATTGCTCTGAGTGTTGCATCTGATTGGTTGATATGCTGGATCGAACTTTATTTCTAACCAATCACTGAGCAAAGTAACAAAAAAGAAATGCAGTGCACCAAGAGATTTTTATATTCTCTTGAGTCCACGTTGTGAGCAACTTTCGGCTCTTTATTGAAAATAGTTCTTAAGTTAGATCAGTACTGTGTAGAGGGAAAGCATCAGTTATCACTGTAAGGCAATGAAAAGGACTCCAGCATTTTCCATTCTTAACTTATTACCTTATGTCATTACTTCAAAAGGAATACAAAGTTGAGTTAATATTAAAAGAAACGTGGAAGGACCCAAGACTTGCATATGGCAACGCAACGTGGTTCGTCAGACTTAAAAATGAGTTATTAAAGAAAATTTGGTATCCTGATACAATGATTGAGAACGCCAGAAAACACGATGTTGACGATAAAACAAGGACAGCATACCTGTTTGGTGATGGGACGATATTTTTCTCGGAATGGTTTGTATGATTGAGTTATCATTGAATTGTATTTCACAGAGTTCAGTATGGTGATGATGGTATACTTATGAAGATGATAGCCGTAGGAACGATGAAAATTCTGGTTGTAACTTTTCACCCTTTATACCCTTTACATCAGTATGCATATTCTAAATACTGTCTGACGTATCCTCCACACTGTTCTCTATACGTTTCCTTTCATATGCTTCCTTATAGATTTTTAGATGGCCACGAGCTGAGGGAGTAGAAAAAAACTTTGTTTTACTCTTGGAGCTCAGTAACTCGCCCAAATACGTAAGAAGCTAAGTTCCTCGTACTGCATTCTTTGCGTCACAAAAGACAATCCATTCTGTTTCGTGTTTCATTTTATCTAATTTTCAAGGATTAAGGCAACTTTAACAAGTCACATGGATTTTAAGAGCTACCCAATGGATGTTCAGACGTTGAGGGTACAGTTTGCTGCTTGTATGTATGAAAACATTTTGTTCAATAATGCAACCAAGAGGTGATTTTCTAACTTTAATTTTTAGTTTAGAAAAATTTAAGAGACAGATTAAGCCCCTTGGAATGACGTATGATTTTAAAGAAAAGTTTATTCAAATTTTCTTTTAACTTTAATTGAACCATAAGTTTTATGTTGCATCATGGCGTATGCACTTTGCATGTGGATAACTCAAACAATGCATCTGATGCATTTCATTGGCTCCATTTTAGATATCACTAATCTATAACCAACAAGAACAAATAATTCCTAAGGAAACCCTAAGGTGATTACTTCGCCTCTCGCTCTAAAACAATGTTGTTTTCCATAAAATATGACAATTTGTGTTTCTTGGTGAATTTACCTCTTTCAGACAGTTACGATGATAATCAAGTTCTGTATGAATGGATAAAAGTATCTCTGAAGGAACATGACATGACAGAGTTTTACGTGGAAAAACAAATCCTCAGATTGGAATCAACGTCATTTATTACAGGTAGTTCAGGTATTTATTTCTTAATCATCATATTAGACAAGATAAGACTGGAAATTGTGCAAGGTATTTATAAAGTGTGATGATTTTGATACTGATTTTGACAAGAACAGTGACGACGGCAATGGTAGTGATAATTGTTATGATCATGGCCTCGGTAACGATAACGATGACGATAACGATAACCGTTTCTGTAACGATAACGTTAACGGTTACTATAACGATGACGATAATGATAACGGTTGCTGTAACGATGACGATAACGATAACAGTTACTTTAAAGGTGACGATAACGATTACTATAACGATGACGATGATAGTGACGATGATGATAATGGCAATAATGATGATGATGGTGATGATGAGAATAACGATGATAATGATGTTAATGGCAATGAAATTGAAAATGATAATGATGCTGGTAATAGCGATGGTAATGGCAATTGTGGTGATAATTTTATCTTTTAATGAAGATACGAAAACATCTGATAATTTTGACAGATGGATTAACGAACTGGGTTGTTTGAACTTTCTAGGAACACATACAGCAGCTGTGGTCGAGTTTAAGATAAAACGTCGCTTACAGCACTTTATCGTTGGCTTTTACGTCCCTTGCATCGCATGCACAGTAGCCTCTTGGATCCAGTTTTGGATGGATGAAATGGCCGTCGGTGACAGAGCAAGTCTGGGAATAACATCAGTGTTGACGGAGATCTTTCTACTGGAGTTTAGTAATCAAGGGATGCCTAAAGTCAGTTATATGAAAGTTGCTGAACTGTACCTTATCGTGTCTTTCGTGTTCATCTTCTTGGCCCTGATTGAGTCTGCAGTGGTGTACAAGGTCAGTCAGTGGTCACTCCTAAAAAAGAACAGTGGAAAGATGACGGAAAAACAGGCTATTAGAGATAAGGTAATTATTTGTCCCAGTGTCGATCCAGGGTCTGCAGGGTTTGGCTTACCCCTGGGGTCGGTGGGTCTCGAACTGATTCATATTTTGGTCGTTCACTTTTCAATTCGTACCCATTCTCTTCTTTCATTCGCTCGTTTGTCGCATCATCATCCACTCAAATACTTTGTAATATAAATTTATTTTTTGATCTTTTTTCATCTATCTATACAGTTTATCATGCAAACAGGGATACCAGCCTCTGGAAATCTGAATTTTGAAGACATTTGATTTCAATTGGATCTCCCTTCTCATCTAAATTTCTTCTTCTAATCGACTCTCTTGCCCCAGTCTTCCTTAGAACCCGGTAATCGCTAAAATCACACGATGTAATCCAAAATCGAAAAATGATTGAAAAAAGGCACATAAACACAACCAAGTCCTTGTACAGACAATCCAATGATCTTTTGTGATGAAGTAGATATTTCTTGATTTGCCATCTTAAAAGAGAACGTATGCAAATAATTTCATGGTCTCTCACATTAGTTTAACATCTCTCATAACTCCTTTTTTCAGAGTCATACTTCACAGACACCGACAGGAAAAGAATTTTACAAAGAAACCGAAACTCCCAAACCCGAAACACTGACGTCTTGTAGATCACCAATGATGTTAAGATACAGCACTCTCAACTTTGAGCAAACAGTGAATAAATCATCGGAGCACATCCTTTCTGAAGAAGAGAGATACGAAGGGACAGACTCCCCTAAAATCTCGACGACTTCAGCGGGAACTGAAGCCAAGGAAAGCTGGGGCCATGCGATAGACCGGGGGGCGCGTGCCTTATTTCCGCTCTCTTACCTCATCTTCTCAGTCATGTATTTTGGTGTCATGTTTACTTCTGATGAGGGATCCAAATGACATCTCCATTCGTCTGACTTTCCAGTCACTCGAATAGGAAAACACTGGAAAACGACTTATCAAGTGAATCTTTAGATTATTTTATAGCTAAAACTACTTCGAGCCAATTCAGCTCTCTTAAATTTCAATCTTACCGGATGTCAAAAGTTTCAGCTTACATTTGTTAGTCAAGTAAGGTTGAAAGCAACACTACAATTTTTAATGGTTTTTATTTGCCGTCACATCAAGAATATCAGATATTTTTAAAATGATGTTTTTGGAGGTTGTCTGACAAGAACTGTAGGTTTGAGTCAGGTGAATTCCAGGAGAAATTTGAATATTTGCTATACATCTTTCGACCCTTTGACTAGCATCTAATTTCTCCTTACAATATCAACCTAGAATCACACAATAAGGTTACGAGAATAGGAACATGATCACCACCTTGAGTAGTTATCGATTGTTTTATAAATTCTCCTTGTCAGCACCCTAGGGATTGTATAGAGAAAAGTATGGAGAATATACTTACTGATGTAACGGTGTTAAATTTAATTCCCCTGATGGTAAACATTTGCCATTTTAGTAAGCATTGATTTTATTTAAAAAAATAATAAAAAAAACTCATAAAAAAAAAAACCACAGTAAGTTGGGAAAGCGAAAAGTTTGTCAGACCAGTGAATGATTATAAAGAAACAAATATCTGCAACCTTAGCTGTGATGACGACTTCATTTGACGCTTAACTTGCGTAGTTGTCTCCAATCGCTCAACTTGTTTGCAGTAGCTCAGCATATGCTCGTGCTGAAACTTCAATTCTTCCCTTAAACTACCGCAAACACTTTAAATTCGACGAATGATCATTTTATACTCTCTTCAGATTGTTTTTTAAGTAAAACTGCAAATTATCGACCAGGCAATCACACATAAGGTGTTACTTCCATCCAGTCAGCACAATTTGAAGGGTCACCTGGGATGAAGATGATTCCTTCTAATGCACTGCATATCCTTACGGCGCATAATGTGCAAAAATACACAAAGTGACAAAATGGCGCGTCTCAAAATGGCCGAAGGCGCGTCGGTGAACTCTTCAACCCTTAAGAGTGACTAACATCTAACTTCTCCCAACAACATCACCCTTGAATCAAACATTAAGGTAAGGAGAATAAAGGAGATGATCATCTTCTAGAGAAGCTCTCGATAGTTGAACAAATTCTCCTTGTCAGAACCCTAGGAAATGTCTAGGGAGTAGTATGGAGAATATACATACTGATGTTAGGGAGTAAAGGGTTAAGTATATTGCAACATGCAATATAAACGTGCATGCTTAGAGTCCGTGTAAACGCGAAAAATTTAAAAAACACAGGAAAAGCGTAGGAGCTGCTCGAAGCACAGCAGGGCTTAGGATTGGGGATTATGGATTCGAGACTCGGGACACAGGATGTGAGATATAGGATAGGGGATTTGGAATAGGGGATATGAACGCGTGTTACGGGATTCGGGATTTTGGATTCGGGATTCGGGATTCGGGACTCGGCAGTCGGAAGTCAAGTCTAAATCAATTCACTGCTATTTTATTTAATCACACCAGCTGTTAGACTTCACTAGCGCCAGACTAGAAATTGGAAGATGCTTCAAATACAAATGTACAAAAATCCGTGCTGCCTCATGGCCAATTATTGTAATAATATTGATTATGTACACTTAAACAAACGTAAGAAAAAAGTTTTAAATGGTTTTCCCCCAAACCACTTCCAGAGAATCATAAGTTTTCCAAACAAAATAAACACAGTACAATCAATTATTAATATGATTCATAACTTAAGGGAGTTAAGAGATTTATGTATGTTTTTACTGTGCTTTGCATGATCCAAGACTTGGTCTTTTCAGGATGGATTTTCTTCTGCTAGGAGTGGCAGGTGATCTGACACTATCTAATGAATCATCTGTTGGGAAAAAAATTATGAATAACACATAATTAATTACTCTCAGTTTGCACGTTCCTAAAATCGACAGATATATCACAAATCATTTATTTGATGTGACTCTAATAATTCTTTCCTCCTCTTAAAAAATTCCTAAACAATGTAATGTAAGAAGGTCCATGATCTTGATGGATCAATATCGGTATCTAAGCAACTGCACAACTACCCCTCCCCAAACCCAACTTTAACCTTACCTTGTTATCAGTGGACTGTTGTTGGGTTAGTGGAGGGGTAAGTGTGGAGTTGCTCACATACTGAAATTGATCCCTTTTGACAATATTGTTCATGATAACAGACATGTAAGGCAAGTTGTAACATTAATCATCCAAAGAAGGCAGGGGAAGCACTCACATCAGATTTTATAGGAGTATATTTACTTAAAGGAAAATCGATTAAGGATTTACCCATTTAATAATATACCACTCGATACTTGTTCACTAACCTGCCGAGTAAGATTCCTCAATGTGACTGTATTCTTGAGGACCTTCCTCGTCTAGAGTTGGATTGTGTAGATCATCAAGGTAAGGAACTACACTCATGCTGCGCAACATGTCACCTTCCTCAGTGGGTGGGATGGGTACCCTGTAGTTTGTCTTCCAGTGATTTTTACAAACCCATCTGATTTTAATAATAATAATGATAATAATGAAAAATGGACTAAAATTAGGTAGGTTGTTGCCAGTATCTGCATGAACCTGTTATATATGAAGGAAATAATTCCTCACAGAAGAAAAACAAGTTTTGGGCACACAGAATTATCAGTAAATTAGTTGAGAGGGTGGTGTGAATTTTCTGAATGAATCAAAAGGAAAAGAAAAATGATGAAAGTTCAGATTACTTTTGACACTCAATTGCAAATTGCACGAATTAGAAAAGCATTTGCAAATCAAACCAAAATCTCCATGTAAGTGCAATTCCTTGGTAGATGAAATATTCTATCCTTTTAACAGCCACAGTCAGCTCTTTAAAAACTTATTAAAGAAAATGTGTCTTAATTCTACACCATTTCTCATACAAGATTTAATTTCATCTCAATGAAAAAATAATGTGATACTTCCTTTAATCTACTATTACCTGTGTTTTCGTATCTCCTGAATAGTAAATCTGTTGCAAGGATTTGCATTCAGCATCCCTAAGAAGAAAAAAAAAGGACAACGTAATTGTGATATTATAATCATATTGTATATCTGGTGTAAGTGAACTTATATTTCTTTGGCTTATAGTCTGCAGCGCAGTCATATCATTAAGACAAGTTAACGTTACAAGATTACGATCATTTATTCCACTGGCCATGTTTGATTTAAAATTAGAGTGGATGGTGGGTGGGGGGGGAAGAGAGGTGGGAAAAGGCTTAATTTCTATTTCCCTGCACCCTCCCCTCTCCTTCCACTTTTCTTCACGAGGAAACTACTGCGAACCACCTTGCCAAAATTATACCAAGTACATGGGCTAACTACATGTACATTGTAGCTCCAGGTAAAATAATTTTATATAGAATAGTTCAATCTACTATGCCCCTGACAAGATCAAAAATTATCTTATTTTATCTTATGACACTGTGCTTGCCTAACAGCCAAAGGCTTGTTATATTGGTCCTCATCAAATCTGTAAGATAACCATGAATTGTTAACTTTCCAAGTTTTACCTCTCAGAAGTTCAGCTAACAAATCATCCACTCCTTCAGGAACTGTAAATTCTCCTTTGCCAATATTTTCAAACAATTTATAAATATTTTCCCCTTCAAATGGGTATTTTCCAGTGGTAATGTTGAACCTGAGTAATACAGAAATAATGTTATGGTCACAATTTGTTACAATAACATCTCTAGGTACTAAAACAATGAAAACTCAACAAGGAAATATATCTTTACATAAATACACTCATAAGAGATTTCTTCATTGCAAACTAAACTCCACTTAAGCATTTAATCAAAGCTACACCAATACATAATGCTTCAACATGATATACAAGTACTTTAATTAATAACAAAGCTAAATGTTGCTGAACCAAATGCAATTCCAGATTATAATCGACAAATAATTGAAGGTTCCACTTACAGTGTTACTCCAGCTGCCCATATATCTACTTTAAAACCAGAGAATGTCTCCAATCCATTGGCAATCTCTGGTGGCTGAAAAGCTGGAGATCCTTGGCTTGTCCTGCAAGTGTCATCAACTGCAAATGGTCCTAACCTCTACAAGAACAGAAAGCAAATTCAAATCTAGAACAACTGTTCTCAGAGAGCAAATCTACAATTGTTCATAAATGTTAGAAGTACCTTTGTACCACATTAATGGTCAGATTACATGTTAAGTAAGGTAGTGTGGAGGTAAATGAATAAAGAGGGTAATTTTCTAATAAAAGAAACTGTGATATTGCATTGGTGGGAGGGTATAACAGGGTAATTTAGTCTTATCAACTGTATTTGATAATAAAAATTGGCCACCGTAAAGAGTTTAAGAGCTGACATTTTGAGCATTAGCCCTATGTCAGAGTGATTGTGTAGAGGTAGTGTGGCTGAGTAGTTAGGGCCCTGGGATTGTAATCTGGTGGTCCCAATTCAAGCCCTACACCCTAATGGTCACTGGATTTTTTTCACAGTTGTCCCAAATTCAACTCTTTTGCTCTGCCTTGTATGTGGCCAACTGGTCCGCCTCCTACAAGTTGGGATTTTTGAAAAACACTACATTTATTAACAAATGTTTCAATTAGTTAGTGTTGGCCCTGAAAAGCTTCATTGGGGGAGTGGTCAATTAAGTATATATACACTCACATACACATTCAAATAATCCCCCCCCCCCCACTAAAAAGGACTTTATTTTTATAGCAATTTACAAACCTCTGCAACTCCAAAGTCTGATATCTTTAAAGTCCCATCAGTTGCTAAGAGTAAATTACCAGGCTTGATATTTAATACAAAATTAAGGTTAATGACTCAGCTAGTATGGAAATGATGAGTGAGCATTATTCACCCTTGAGCAGCCAAACAGACAGAGTACCAGTGATACGTCACAGAAAGAGACTAATTTTCAGTTTCTAAGCGGTATATACTGAAACAGTTGTTCACCACAGTGCCTGTGAAAGTGGTGGATATCTCCCTTGTTGTTTTGTGGTTGGTAAATATCCACTGCTGGCCACCTCCAATTCAGTGAATAATTTTTAAATATTGTGCAAAATTTCCTTTTCCTTTTTTTCAACGTTTTATTTGGTGACTACAATTTCATATCAGGGACCATGTTATGAACTAGCAATACCAAATGAAGGATCTGAAAAAAAGTTGAGCTCCTGGCACTGATCATAACTTTGAATATAAACAACTTAGTGATAAGTAAAAATGAAAGGTCTGTCAAAGGATATCTTTATGGATAATTCCTTGACTGTGTAAATACTCAAGACCATTCAACAACTGAGTGAAATACCTACAAAAAATATAAAAAGGAAGTTAAATCTAGTTTCCTAACAGAAAACTGAGGAATCAATTTTAACAATGTGTGAATAAAAGCATCAACATGGTTTTCTTAAGTTCCACAACAGCCCATGTTGTTGCCTACTTCTGTTGCAGCTTATTGTTTACTTACCCATGGGCCTGCCATATGGGAAATTTATGTCCTTCAACACTTTCCAACATCTCTTGGAGTTCTCCTACACAATATTCCATAATCATATACCTTCACAAAAAGTCTGTCAAGGTTTTAACCACAGCATTGCTCAGTTCTTTCATGATATTTAATCAACAGTAACAAGTGTGTTAGTTGCAGGTATCAGACAAGCTCATGTTTTCTTATCTGTTGGAAGATCATAGTTTTATAATGCTATGTGGGATAAAGAAATACAAAATTCAAAACAATGCATGGAAACAAATTTATTTTAAGCACAGCTACATGACATCATTTGGTTAACCCTTGAGATTTGAGTAAAAAAGAAAAAAGCTACAGTATTCCAGGTTACATTTAAACAAATATCACTGTCAAATCTGCTTGAAGGTCTACCAAAACCAATTCACATTTAAGGAGAAAATGAGGGCTATATAGACTCTACCACCCCTCGATAAAAAAAAAGAAAGAAAAAAACATTTTTTTCAAAAAGTGTTGATCAACATATATTGTTTTTAGGGTTTCATAAAACATGTACACATAAAGAAATTTCTACCATTATCATGTATTTCAAATAAAGAAATAATTTGCAACTGATTTCCTATTTCAGTATATTCTTGGAGGTCTTACATTGTATAATTTTCATGTTCACATACTCTCACTACAGAAGCGACAAAAAATAACAACAACAGGTAGAAATAAGATTTAAGGTACTATATCAAAGTATTGTATCGTAAATAGTAAGTAAATAGCGTAAAACAATGAATAGTATATTAGATTTCCGCAGAAATGCCGGTCAAAAAATGTGCGGAATGCAATGCTTCTGTTTTCACATAAAGGATACATTTTTTGTTTTTGTTCGTCGTACATCACATCATACAGTTTAATGACATTTGGGTGGCACAGCCGTTTCAGCAACTGAATTTCTCTGTCGATTAACAAAGTTTCAAAGATATACAAGGTTACAATCTTGTCTATTAAAATTGAATCTATCAATTAGGATATGATCCCATACTTAAAATCAGTGACACACACTCTATTGACAAACTTCCTTCGGTAAATTAAAAAAAAAGTACGAAGAACACGCTATCACCTCTGAACATTTTGCTCTCCATTAGGAATTCTTCTCAGTTTTCGTCGTTTCATGATTTTCACAGCACAACGTCGAAGATTTTCGCTGTCGAGCATTTCCTTCACTTTGCCGTAAGATCCCTCACCAAGCGCATCTCCCATTAAATATTTCCCAATAAACTTAGCTCTCTTCCTTCGAGGTTGATATATAATCTGATCGGAGTCAACCCGATGAAAGAAAATGTTTGGATCTTCATCACCAAGAAACGCAGGACTGTCGATGTTTTCGTAAAATCCGTCCTCGCTTCCGACCACAAACAGTCGCTGGACACCATTCTCTACAACCATACTTTCCACCATTTGAAGGCATTGGTCAGCACGACCAAAATAACTGCTATTTCATGATGCTCGTCTAAAAATTTCTAAGACTTTACGATACACATCGTCCTCGACGTCCGCCATTTTGTTTGCATCGTGACATCAGAGGAAATGTGACGTCACTCGTTCCTAACGACAGAACTTCCGGGAGGCTAATAAGCCAAACTTGCCTGATGTGAGGAAAACAATTTAACATTTTCAAGCATCTGTTATCTAACTTTTGAGGAGCAAAACCCTATATCAGTGATCCCGATCCCTTCTGAAAGGAGTACCCCAAAAGACTAATGTGAGCAAATTCTACGAGATTGGGGCACAGATTCACACAGAATCTTTCTTAAACTTACTTGCTCTGAATAACAAGGAGAAATGTGTTTTTCTCAAGAAAGTAATTTTTTAAGGGTCATCTATGTGGTTTTTATCTCTTTTCGAAGACTAACTATGACTCGACTTATTAAAAGAAATCTGCGTTTCTATCATCACCCGTAATTATAAATTTCAAATAGTTCATTTCTCACTGTTTCCCTTGTCAACTTTTCCGTCATTTCTGCCATAAAACTCACTTTGCTTCCACACGTTAGAGAATGTGGAAACTTGATGACATGCTAGCCACAAAGATAACAATGAAAATTTTCTCGTACATCATTTTAAAAAACGTCAAAACGTCAATCACTGTCACTGACAAAATTCCTTTTTAACTCCTTTAACTCTTAAGAGTAACTAGCATCTAATTTCTTCCCTCGATGTCACGCCTGAATCAAACATCAAGGCCACGAGAATAAAGGAAATATCATTATCTAAAGAATGTCTTGATTGTCAAACAAATTCTCCTTGTTTGCACTTCAGGATTTGTGCAGAGAACGGTATGGAGAATATGTATACTAGTGTTAAGGTGCCAAGGGTTATTATTCTACCATTCCCTATACAAATTGTGATAAGGTATCTTCAAAGTAAACAAGTACGAAGTTTTTTATTTCGTTATAAAAGACACCTTCAAAGGCAGTAAAAGGTACTTGTTGTTAGAGCAGAACGCAAACAATCAAATAAACTGTGTTAGGACTTAGCTGATTCCACAATTGTTTACCTTGAAAATTTGGATTTAGCTGCGAGGTCAGAGTTACACATTAAAAGAAGAAAGGACTGACTATGTCGAAAACGTGAAAGAATGTACCACGTTTCCTTATTAAGTCACGGTTTATTCACTTGATTTAGCGATTCTATTACAACGCTTCGGTTGACTCCCACTCACAACTCTCGTTTTATTAAAAAAAAAACAACACACCATTGAACGTCCCGTTGTAAGCACGTGGAACAGTGCCATATATGGGGGGATAAAGCACGTGCTGCATACATGTTAGTTTGGTTATGTAGAGATAAACGAAATCACTTATAAATGTCAGTCAAATTAAGAATAATTAATGCATCGTGCGGTTTCCAACAACTGGACTTTCAATTGAGTCCATGCGTGGTCCTAAGGCAGATAGGAAATGGGAATTCTAAAGGCTCAACGTCCAGCGTAGAATCGCATCAAGGGGCGCTTTCCATCAGGCGCTTCTCTCAAAAGCTTCCGGATCGTTTAAACTTATAACATGTGACTAAGTCTAAGTTTGAATCAGGCACTGACAACTTCTCATGCTTGGTGTAAATCAAATATTTCTATAGGTGAAACTGATTGGAAAATAAATGTCATCTCTCCCGTGATTATACATTTAAATCTAGTCGAAAAGGCCTCTCATCAGTCATCTTTTTAGTTGGCCACCTGACGATCAGTTTGCCGCGGAGGAAAACCTAACTATTCACACAAGCACAAAATCCTACCGATCAAGATAAAGATGCAAAGGAAAATCAGACATGCACAACT